CCGGCTTGCGCGCGGAGTTTCGCGCCGTGCAGCTCTTGACCCTCATGGTCATCTCGCGGTGCTGCTCGTCGGGCGTGCAGATCACCTTGAAGTGGTGCCGGGAGTACCTCGACGCTGGCCACCAGGTGTGACACTTCATTGAGTCGACCTACCAAGTCACGGACGACTTGTTCATCGCCCAACTGGAGGGACAGCTGACGCACCTGCGTATGGGCGACGAGGAGACGGCGACCGACTGTCGGCCAGGCAGCTGAAGGAGCACGGCGTGAAGCTGCAGGAGGACGGAGATGGCATGATGCTCATCTCGACGGCTGGGGAGGTGCTCGGTCGGGCAACGTACTCCGGGCGAGTTCTCTGCACCGACCTGCGTCTCTGCTCAAAGACGTCGACGTCGACCACGTCGGACGTTGTGGCCCTGCGGGCGATCGTCTCGAAGAAGAAGTCAACGCTCGACAGGATGCATGCTAGACTTGCGCATGTCAGCATGGACACCATCAGGAGCTCGGCAAAGAATGAGGTCACCATTGGGCTGGACCTCAAGTCGGCGACGGGCGCCAACTCCCCGTGTGTCTCACGCGTCGGCGGGAAGCTGGCGCGGCACACCTTTCCCGACCAAGGCTCCGACGCTGACGACGTACTGGCCGTCGTGCACATCGACCAGTGCCGGCCGTTCCGTGTGGCGGCCAAGGACGGTAGCCTGTACTTCCTGCTGCTGAAGGACCGTAAGACCCGCTTTGTGTGGATGAGGACGGTCGCCAAGAAGCCGGATGTGCTGCTGGAGTTCCAGAAGTGGCTGGTGTTGGTGGAGAGGCAGATGAAGACGTCGATGCTGATGCTGCGCTCGGACCGAGGAGGGGAGTTCCTCGGGAAGCAGTTCACCGACTTCGTGGACGGACGGGGGATTGTCCACGACCTGACCTGCCCGTACACCCCGCAGCAGAATGGCATGGCATAGCGGGAGATGAGGACGGTGGTGGAGTCGGTGCGGACGATGCTGCTGCACATGGGCGTGCAGCACCACTGGTGGCACCTCGCTCTGCGGCAGGCCGTCTGGGTCCGCAACTGCCTTGAGAGGTCGACGCTGCCGTCGGGGACGACACCGTACCAGCTGCTGACCGGGCAGCGGCCCGACTTGTCCCAGAGCAGTAGCATGGTGGGAAGCTGAAACCGAAGGCCAGGTGGGGCCTTCACCTTGGTGTGTCGGCGGCGAGCAAGGGCTGGGAGCTCCTTGACGTCGATGCCAACCGGGTGGTGACCATGTCAGACGTGGTGTTCTACAAGGACATGTCGCTGGCCGAGTGGAAGTCGGCATACGGCCGATGTCTGGACGGACGCCGAGCACCCAGCCGACTGACACCTCGATGGCGACGCTGCCTCTGCTCGCCGCGGCCGGTGACCTTGCTGCTGAGGACGCCGAGGTCGTCCGTCCTCCTTCCCCCTCCCCTACGTCCCCTGCCCCTCCCCTCGTGGCCGACCTGCACGGGCTGACTCCTATGTCGGCCTCGGGCGATGAGGGGAGCAGTGGGACGTCGCCTTCGGCACCGGCCCATGGCATCGGCGGTGGCCGACGTGACGAGCGGCAAGTCGACGTGGGACTGAAGCCGACGTCGATAGGGGAGGAGCAGGTCGAGGAGCAGAAGTCGATAAGGGAGCAGGCATCAGTAAAGCCGACCACGGATCAGGCGGCAACCGGGCAGTCGACAGGGGAGCCGACCACAGGGGAGAGGCCGGCCAGGAAGTCGACTGAGGTGCAGGGGGACGACGAGGGCAGTGAAGACGGTGACGAAGGAGGGGACGCCGAGGTGTCCACCAAGAGTGACGTGGTCGAGGTTTGGCCGGAACCCTGGAAGTCGGGCGAGTTCGGAGGCCACCGGACTTCTTCGTCCCTGCTGCCTTCACCACGGTATACGACGTGGGAGATGACGACGACCTGCTGTACGACGACGCCGAGGAAGATGAGGAGTTTTCGGAGCTCGACCCTGACATGCTCGCCGACCCCGAACACTGCTGGGACATCTCGACCATGATGGTGAAGGAGGCATTGGCGAGCGGGAAGGGCCCGGTGGTGAAGGCCGCCATGGAGGAGGAGATCCGCAGCCTTATCAACATGGGGACTTGGGAGCTGGTCGAGCGCCCGCCGGGAGTGAACATCATGAAGAACCGGTGGGTGCTGACAACGAAATACCACGTTGACGATACCGTCGAGCGCGAGAAGGCGAGACTGGTCGTTAAGGGCTTCACCCAGGTGTATGGCGCCGACTACGATGAGACGTTCGCGGCGGTGGCAGCTAAGTCACGCTGAGGATCTTCCTCAGCATCGTCGCCGTCCTCAACCTCAACCTGATGCAGCTCGACATGAAGAACGCCTTCCTGTAGAGCAAGCTCGACCGGGTGCTCTACATGACTCAGCCGGACTACTTCAACGACGGAACCGGCCGGGTTTGCAAGCTGCTGAAGAGCCTGTATGGGCTGAAGCAGTCGCCGCTGCTGTGGTACTTGGCGCTCAATGACGTGTTGGTCGGCGTCGGGTGGAAGAAGAGCCAGGTCGACGAGGCTATGTACTTCAAGGTCGGAGAGGACGGAGTGGCCTGCTGGGTGCTGGTCTACGTCGACGACCTGCTCGCCGCCAGCAGCAGCACCGGGATGCTGAAGGAGCTGAAGGAGCTGCTGGAGTCCGCCTTCGAGCTGCGTGAGATCTCGCCGGTGCACAAGTACCTCGGGCTGGAGATCGTCCGCGACAGGTCGGCAAGTTAGTTGTGGCTGCACCAGCAGGGCTATGCCGACAAGCTGCGTAGGCGCTTCATCGACGAGGAGCAAACCGGGCGCACCCCGAAGACGCCAGTCTCGGTCGACGCCTACGCCGAGCTCACTTTCGACGACGAGGAGGCGCAGGAACGGCAGGAGGAAGAGTACCAGAAGAAGGTCGGCTCGCTGCAGTTCGCGGCAACGACGACGAGGCCGGACATCGCCTTTGCCTGCAGCAAGCTGGGGAGCGGCCTCACTAGCGCGAGGTCGACCGTTGCCTTGCCTACCTCGCCAACACATGTGACACTGCCCTGGAGTTCGGTGGTGGACCTGAGTCGCTCGAGCTGGTCGGCTACGTGGACGCCGACGATGCCGGTGACAAGCAGAACAGGACAAGCACGGGTGGCTACGTGTTCGTCTACGATGGGGCCGCAGTCTCCTGGTCGAGCCAGCGCATCAAGTGCGCGATGCTGTCGTCGACCGAGTCGGAGTACGTGGTGGCCACGGAAGCCGGGAAGGAGGGACATCGACTGCGCTTCCTCCTCGCAGAGTTCCAGCAGCTAGATGCTGGGAAGCCGACCGTCCTTCGGGTGGACAACAAGTCGGCCATCACAGTCGCCGAGGGCATGGGGTTGACGGGCAACCTCAAGCACATGGAGCGGTGACAGGCGTGGCTGCAGCACATGGTGAAGCGCGGGAAGTTCTCGCTGAGGTACATCCCGACAGTTGAGCAGCCGGCCGACTTCCTGACGAAGGCGCTGCACTATCCGGCCTTCAACCAGTGCTCCGTCGCCATCGGCCAGGTGCGCTTGGCCGACGTGGGCGACGAAGTTGACAAAGTGCAGTAGTAGGTGCCATGCTCTCTTGCATGGCTGGTGCGGTGGACATGTTGTGCACGTCGACGAGCTATTCTCCGAGTGGTACTCCCGTGTGGGCTGGGGGTCCAAGCGTGAACGCGGCAGGGGAGTGTCAACGGGAGTTGTGTGTTGACCCCGTCCTCGCTTGGGCGGAGCCGACTTCGTGGTCGGGTGTGAGGGGAGCACCTGACCTGCAGCAGTGGGCGAGCTGGTTGACGAGGAGGTCGACGTGCTCGGAGACCACTGTATGTGCGCCGACTTCAGGGTGGCGCCAACTTCAGGGAAGTCGACCTGTGGAGGACGTCGACTTGGTGACGTCAACTTGGGGGCAGCCAACTTGGGTGGTCGGCTGACAGGACTTGCTGGTCGACCTGGTGGTTGGTCGACCAGACCTGCTGGTCGACTTGTTAGTGGTCGACCTGACCTAGTGGTCGACGAAGGAGGGGCCGACGTCGACCTCGACTCAGGATGCCGAGGAATTGGGCGTCGAGTAGCTGGGCGTCAACTTGGTGACGCCGACTTTGGGTAGCCGACTTGGATGGTCGGCCGACAGCTGCGCTGGCCGACATGAACCCGGTCGACCAGGAGTGCTGGTCGACGTGGAGCTGGTCGGCCAGGAGTGACGTCAACCTGGGGCTGGTCGACCAAGGGTGTGGTCGACCTGGTGAGGGCGACTTGGGGTGGTCGTCGACTTGGGAGGTCGACGGGCACATACGGGAGCAGCTGGTCGACGTGGTTGCCCAGTCGACTAGGTTACCTGGGTGACGAGGTTCTGCGGAGGAGTGCGACGGTCGCCCAGGCGAAGTTGGCGAGCCCGACCTCGGTGGTGGTATCCCGAGGTCAACGTGGCTGATCAGATGCAGCCGTCAGCGCCTGGTTGACTTGGTGTGTGCGTTGTGCAGGTGACGAGGCTCAGCCCGCCAATCATCTGCGAGCACTTGCGAAGCGGGTGCGCTGCTGTTCTGCGTGAGCAACGCTGGCACGTCGTCAACCTGCAACGTTGGCACGCCGTCGACTTTGCAGTGCTGGAGCGCGGTCAACCAAGTCGTGCTGGAACGCGGTCGGCCGTGCTGCGCTGGCAGTTGACCGACCTGAATGCTTGCTCTGATGTAGTCTTGCCATGCCAACTTCATTGTACCATTGTTGTCAACCTTTCTTAGTGAAACTCTTGCCAATTCTCCCTGTGAACTAGCAAGCTGTCTGTGCACTAGGAAAACGACTTAGGACCAACGAACGCAGAGATCACACGAGCATCCGTGCCTAGCCCGTAGTCTAGCTCCCGTTGTAGTAGTTATCTCTGCAGCTACTGTCAGCACAGCTGCCACCCCGTCATTGATTATCAAGCAGCGGGCGGCGACAACAAAGATATCGGACGAGGATCTTTTGCGCCTGCAGCGGATGGCAGAGCTACAGGAGGAGGTGGTGCGGGTGGTGGGGGCGTGCAGTGGCAGGGACAGCAGTAGCGTGCCTCTGGTGGGGAGTGCGAGGAAGGCCCCTTGAAGTGTGGCGCTGTTCGGTGCTCCCAGCAATGGCAGGACGAGCAAGTAGGTGGTGTTTTGGAAAACTATATGTATTGGGGTGTGTGGGGAAGTGCGTGCTTCTTGCTCGAATGGCGGATGGCAGAGGTGTAGGTGGTGGTGCGGGTGGTGGGGGCGTGCAGTGGGAGGGACAGCCGCGGCGTGCCTTTGGTTGGGGCTGCCAGGAAGGCGCTTTAAAGTGTGGCGCTGTTTGGTGCTCGTAATGACTTCCGGACAAACGACTGGTTCTTTAGGTGTGTGAGAGGATGTGTATTTGGGAAAATGTGTGTACGGGAATGTGTTCGGGTGTGTTGGGGGAATGTTATCCTTCACCTGCCAGCCAAGTAGGTCTGCCCACCAGCTGATGTGGAATATTCCTTTTCCCCTTTTTGCTGTTCTCCTCCCCCACTGACAGGCGGCGAGCAGAAGTGACAAAGTTCCTGGTGGTGCGTGAATTTGATTTGGCGCTCTGCACCTGCCAGCTGTGCAGATCTCTCTGCCAGCTGATGTGCAACATCCCTTTCCCCTTTTTGCCTTTCCCTCCCCACACTGACAGGCAGCGTGTGGAAGTGACAGAGTTCTGGTGGAGCGGGAATTTGACCTGGCATCAGTGGTGATTAACTCCCTGCATTTGGGAACGTGTGTGTATGGGAATGTGTTTGGATGTATTGGGGCAATGTCATTCTACACCTGCCAGCCGTGCAGATCCACCTACCGCAATATTCCGTTCCCCTTTTTGCCTTTCTCCTCCCACACTAACAGGCGCAGTGTGGAAGTGACAGAGTTCTGGTGGAGCGGGAATTCGACCTGGCATCAGAGGTGATCAACTTCCTGCACCTGTGTGGATTCACCACAGCCGTGCACAGCATACTCACTGGCTCATTATGTCCCTGCTTTTCTCTCGTTCTCCCCACCATTAGACGCAGTGTGGAAGTGACAAAGTTCTTGGTGGAACGGGAATTCGACCTGGCACTGGAGGTGATCAACTTCCTGCACCTGCCAGCCGTGCAGATCTACCCACCAGCTGATGTTTCCCTTCTTGCCATTCTCCGCCCGACACCAACAGGCGGCGTGTGGAAGTGGCAAAGTTCTGGTGGATTTGCATTAGAGGTGATCAACTTCCTGCACCTGCTAGCCGTGCGGATCTACGCCAGCGTAGCAGCCTTGCTGGCGGAGAAGGGGCCCTTGGACTGGATCAAGTACATCCTGACGCCCGCTGATATGGATGACGCGAGAAACGCTGTGTAGTAGTTGGAGTGTAAAATTTCTCGAAAGTTGAGGTACGTGTGTTAAGGAGTTGAGAAACAATCTCGCGGGGCTGAAGTCTCGCCAAACCACACTTCACCGAACCCTGTTCTCGAACCTCGCTTAGTCCAACCGTAATTCCGAACCTCGCTTTCCCCAACCTTGTGTTTGGATTCTCGTTCCTCTACCCATGTCTCTCCCCAAACTTCCCACTTTCCTGTTCCCCCTCCTCCCATCATCTGCACACGTGTCCACAGGTGATTGGAGCAGCACTGAGGGTCTACACCCACACTGTTGTCAAGCTGTCGAATCTCTCCCTGACCTTCACATGTCCCGATCGGTGAAGCTGCCAAAGGAGCACATTGACCGCCTTATCCACATGCTGTCAGACGAGCATAAGTAAATCACTTAGCACAAGTAGCTATGCTCGCATCGGTAAGTGTGTGTTTTCTACGAATATCTTCCAGGCTTGTGAATGAGTCTGTTAATCGGTGAAGCTGCCCAAGGAGCAGATCGACCGACTCCTCCACATGCTGTCAGACGGGCATAAGTAAGTCACTTAGACAACTGTGTTACTTTTAGTAGTTTGTTGTCCGTGCACATGCTATCACACACAGTTGTCAGACAAGCATAGGTACATGTATGAACATGAGTCGTCAATCATAAGTAAGATTGCATTTTTGCCCGGTTTTGACTCAGTGTACCCTTGCGAGGTTCCCATGTGCTAACTCATGTATCCCCACTGCTGGAAATGAGACAAGCTTGAGTCGACTTAAAGCTCACTGTACCCATGTCAGATTCCATGTGCCAACTCCCCTATCCCCCATGCTTGTGCATTTCCCCACCTTCCAGGAAGGTTCTCTTCAATGTGGCATGTCACAGGCTGCACCTGTCCTTTCAGGTTGCCATTGGCACTTCCAGCCTCAACCCACCCAGGGGGGTGTGGCAGCAAGAGCTCTCACCTCTGCCACTATTGCCAGCGCCAGCAGCAGCAGCAGCAGCAGCGGTGGAGCTGGGTATGGGCCGGTGTACCCGCTACAGAGTCGCATCAACGACATGGTTTTCATCATACACGAGGCTCGAAGTGCACCCAAGGTTCGGGAGCACTGCCGGGAGTGGCTGGCTGGTTGGGGCGCTGCGATTGGCACACACAGGCTCACTTGCTCCCTCACACTCACGTATGGCCTCTTGGGCACGGGTCACAGCAACCACATGCCCTGCGTCAGTAGTTCAGCTGTTTTAGTTTGATGCCATATTGGAATGAATACTGCTGGGTGTTTGTGTGACCATGATCCCCGCTGTACGCTCCTGGATACTACCGTAGATAGGGAGGCTCTCTTTTGCCCACAGCCACCTCAAGCCTTACCGTGTTATGTTCTGTCTCAGGAGCAAATTCTACCCAATGTGGACTTGAAACACAAAGACAGACAGTATCTTACTACTTTCGCTGTAGCTTCTCCACTAGCTGTCATGTGGTCCACAGAGGAACAACAGTAAATCTCTACTTGATTCTTGGCCAACAGTATCTGGCTTCTAAAATTCACGTGGAAACTAGCTCTTCAAGCAGAAGCAGCAACCATAGCCATGAGTGCATAGAGAAGGGCAGATGCATTGTAACGAGAGTGGTATGCAGTGCAACAGCTGGCAGCACACTATTGGAGTAGACGGCGAGCAGGCCGGCGGCAATCCCAAGGGCCATGTTGGGGAAGAGAAGAGGAGCGAGAGGGAGAGGTGGAAGAGGGCGAAGAGGGCTGCAGAGAGCATAGCAGTGTCGATCCTGAGGGAGAGAGAGGCAGGAAGGGGGATAGTGCAGGAAGGTGAGTTAGTCAAACATGACATGGCCTGCTGACTTGAGTTGACTAGCATGATTCGCTTTGACTTCTTGACTTCAGTTCTGAGATGGACCATGACAGGCTGAGATGTGCCATGACAGGCTGTGATGTGCCATGACTGGCTGAGATGTGCCATGACTGGCTGAGATGTGCCATGACTGGCTGAGATGTGCCATGACTGGCTGAGATGTGCCATGACAGGCTGAGATGTGCCATGACTGGCTGAGATGTGCCATGACTGGCTGAGATGTGCCATGACAGGCTGAGATGTGCCATGACTGGCTGAGATGTGCCATGACTGGCTGAGATGTGCCATGACTGGCTGAGATGTGCCATGACAGGCTGAGATGTGCCATGACTGGCTGAGATGTGCCATGACAAGCTGAGATGTGCCATGACTGGCTGAGATGTGCCATGACTGGCTGAGATGTGCCATGACTGGCTGAGATGTGCCATGACAGGCTGAGATGTGCCATGACTGGCTGAGATGTGCCATGACTGGCTGAGATGTGCCATGACAGGCTGAGATGTGCCATGACTGGCTGAGATGTGCGATGACTGGCTGAGATGTGCCATGACAGGCTGAGATGTGCCATGACTGGCTGAGATGTGCCATGACTGGCCGAGATGTGCCATGACAGGCTGAGATGTGCCATGACTGGCTGAGATGTGCCATGACTGGCTGAGATGTGCCATGACTGGCTGAGATGTGCCATGACTGGCTGAGATGTGCCATGACTGGCTGAGATGAGATGTGCCATGACAGGCTGAGATGTGCCATGACTGGCTGAGATGTGCCATGACTGGCTGAGATGTGCCATGACTGGCTGAGATGTGCCATGACTGGCTGAGATGTGCCATGACTGGCTGAGATGTGCCATGACAGGCTGAGATGTGCCATGACTGGCTGAGATGTGCCATGACTGGCTGAGATGTGCCATGACTGGCTGAGATGTGCCATGACTGGCTGAGATGTGCCATGACTGGCTGAGATGTGCCATGACAGGCTGAGATGTGCCATGACTGGCTGACATGTGCCATGACTGGCTGAGATGTGCCATGACAGGCTGAGATGTGCCATGACTGGCTGAGATGTGCCATGACAGGCTGAGATGTACCATGACAGGCAAGGGTAAGAAGAAAACAATAAAGTGGAACTGGATTGCTGGGAAAGAGTGTGTGCATGGGGACGTGTGGAAATGACCAAACCCAAAAAGGGCAGCAGGTGGAGGCGCGGCATTACTGTCGTCACTGTCCTCTCAACAGCATGCCTCTCACCTGCCGAGCCACTCCTGCAGGGCTGTGAGAAGCAACCCTCTGAACAGAAGCTGCTCTGCTATGGCTGGCTACACCGCCACCCACAGGAACAGCTGTAGCAGGTCCAGAAGAGGTAAGGCCGTGGCAGCTGTAGCCGTGGTAGCTGTAGCAGTCGCAGCTGTAGCAGTCGCAGCTGTAGCAGCTACATCCCCTCCAGTCCCATCTGGCAGCTACAGAACAGAGGACCCAGCAACAAGGCTGTAGCACTCACACTATTCCCCCCTCCTCGTTCTCCTGCTCCTCCTGCTGCTGCTGCTGCTGCTGCTAGTTCTGGTAATCCCCCTCCCCCTCCCCCTCCCCTCCAGCACCAGTAAACAAAAACAACTGGAGAGAAAAGCAGAGCCCATAGAATAGGTCCCCATGCTGTCCCCCCTCCTCCCCTCCAGCACCAGTAAAAAAAGACAAAACTAGAGAGAAAAGCAGAGCCCATAGAATAGGTCCCCCTGCTGCCCCTGCCGCAATCACTTTCCATCAGCTATCAGTTCCCCCTGCTATCACTCCCCTCTCCCCGTCCCCATCCCCCCCACAGTGGTTGATGCAATGGTGATTTCTAAAAAGAGGGGCTAATGAGGAGAGACACACACAGACATCAGGCATTGGCGCACACCCTCACACTCAGGCATTGCCACACACCCTCACACTCAGGCATTGCCACACACCCTCACACTCAGGCATTGCCACACACCCTCACACTCAGGCATGAACTCTTAGGCCCCGGGCACATTGGAAGCCGAAGAAGCGCATATCAGCAGCACCCCTACACTTTGACCCCAAACTTCTCATCAAACTGCTTGTCTGTACATAGGAGAAACTGCTGCAAGCACACCCTTTTCTTTGACCCCTCCAAATCCAGAAGCTGCCGCTCTGTAACTACTCTTTCCCCTGGCTCATCATTGCCTGCGACAACCCCATATAACGGCCCACTCTTCCCTTCTTCCGCTCCCCATTCAATCCTCTCTACCCCCTCCACTTTGTCAGACACAGAACCCAGCTTGCTCCTCTCTTTCCCAGCTCCTATTGAAACACCCCTCCTGTCCCCAACACTCGTCTGAATAGCAATCTCATGTGCCACAACCGCATAACCCATTCGCACCAGTGCCACATGTCGCGGTCTGATTCGCCGATCCAAACTGTACCCAAGAAATGTTGGGTAAGGAAGCACCTCCATTACAGAGAGCCCCATGTCCCGTTTTAAGTACTCCACCTTGGACTTGATGTTCGTATTCCAACTGTAAAAGATAGACAGCGGGTACCTCATAACCAAATCCACAACCAACCGATGAGCCCTGCGTCTCTTGACACTAAGTGCTCGGGAATCATTTTCCCCTTCCAAACAGTTACCTCCATTACCTTCCCCCAACCTTTGCGTCCCATTTCCCACTTCTCCACTGCTCCGTAATTCTTCTTCCACTTCTCGCACAAGCTCTCTAAAAGTTTCCCTAATGACATCTTCACTAGAAGCTAGTAGCAAAGGAAATTTTGCCACCACCCGCAGAGCATTCTCTTGGCCAATCAAATCAGCCAATACCGCCACCTTGCCTTCCACGTTCTCCTTGGATAGATAAAGAACCTGCGAGAAGCTCCTCACCATTCTCCCTGCTGCCTCCTCCCCCACCAGCTCCACAAAGAACTGGAGGTTAGCTAAGAGAGTTTCTTTGTTGAAACCGATGATGTTGGGGCCACGACGAAGCACAGAGCTTGCAATGGAGGACGAGCCTGGGGGAGTGAAGGACTGGAGTATGGCGATATTCTCTGCAATGCGAAAGGGAGAATATGAGAAAATTATTGGAAAGTTCAGGATAAGCCTGCTAAGGTGGCTCTTGTCCAGATGCGGCTCATCTAGTCGCTGCTTCA